CTCTAGAGCCACACCAGCAGGAGTTTATTCATTGTTGACTCACAGATGTGACGAGAATGGAGTTTATTAGGGAAATAAGTTGGAGAGTGGAGGAGTCAAAGAATATTCAGTGAAAGTCCAGGTTTTACTCTAGCTGTCCCAAGGCACAGTTCTTCATTTAGTCTAAGCTCTGGTTTCAGTTCAGCAGTCAGCTTCTCCTTCCATCATTTGGCAAGAACAACAAAAACCTTTAACCTGTGGCCTTTGTCTCAGGGCTCTTCTGGTTACACCTTGCCACAGTTTGTGCACAATAATGCCACGGTGTCTCCACTACCATCACCAGGGTCTTACTCTAACAGGATCTTGGTTAAGTACTTCAAGTTTTGTAGCTTAACGTGGAAAGTACTCTCTCTTATCCTAGTTCCACAGCTGTTGGTGACTTGCAATACCATGTGTTTGCACTTAAGGTAGCTTGAGACCAGAGGGGTTTAATGTAATTGTTAAAAAAAATCAACTTCATACCTAGGACAGGGTTCAGATCTGTCATTCATAAGGTCATTATGAATGGAACATAATAGCAATAACAAACCATTCTATAGGTATGAGATGCTGTCTCAGCACAGTTTTGATTTGTATCTCTAAATGGCTAATGGTCACAAACTTTTTTTCCCCCTATAATTGTTGGCTATTTGAATATACTTAGTGATAAGTGTCTTTGGGTCTTTTGCCAATTTTTCAATTGGATGATTTAGTTTGTATTTTCATTGTTAAAGGTTTTGTTTATTTTGGAGAAGAGACACTCATGACATACCATACCCAAAAATTCATATCCCCCATGGGATACGGGGGTTGTTTATGTTTTTTATTGTCTTAAATAGTGCATAAATATTTCTTTTTATGAGGTCCTAGTTAACTAATGTGTTTTCTTCTCTTTGTGCATTTATACTTGTTTTGTTTGGTTGTGGGTTTTTTTAAGTATTAGTACTACCCACAGTGATCTAAAAATACGATGCAATCCTGATCCGAATCTCAATAACATTTTTTTGTTAAAATGGAAAAGGTAATCATAAACTTTTCTATGGAAAGCAGAATGGCCCTGAATAACCACATAAGTAATACTGAAGGAGGACAAAGAAAGAGGGAAACCTCACACTTCCCTACCTCAAAACATAGTATGTAGCTAGTTATCCAGAAGGGCCTGCCTAACACTGAGAATCCAGAATTTCAGGTTCTATAAATTTGTTTCTGTGTTTTCCTCAAAACTTCATAATTTTACGTCTAACATTATGTCTTTGACCTATTTGGGGTTTTCATTTTTCTGCAAGCAGTTTTGCCAGCACCATTTATTAGAAAGACTGTATTTCTCTTTGAGTTAACTGGCCCTTGACCCTTGCCTAAAATCTATAGTTAGATTGATTTCTGGATTCTCAGTGCCACTCCTCTGACCTATGTGTCTGTCATTGAACTGTTTGTTCTGAGGTTAGAAAGTTCTCCTTTGTTCTCCCTCAATACTACTGTAGGCTATTCAGCACTTTTTTGTTGAGTGTATTGACATTTCACAGAATTAAATCTTTCCGTCCTGGAGCTCAGAAAGTCCTTCCATTTCTGCCGATCTCTTTTCATTTCTGGTAGTTATGGTTTGTTTTTTTTTTCATGTAACTTTTTTACATCTCTGGTTAAGTTTATTTCTTTTATTTTATCCTTTTAGGGGCTTTTGTATGTGGAATGATTTCTTGATTTCTGTTTATAATTCTCCTAGTTAGTGTAAACTGATTTTTTAACCCAACTGATTTGTGTTGTTGATCTTATAATCCTCCAACATTGCTCAGTTTCTCTGTCCAGTAGTTTTCTTAAACAAGTGATGTTTTCTGTGTATGAGATCATATCGTCTCCAGTTATTCTTTATTATCGGGTTGGCTCCAACTTATAGCAACTGTTCATAAGGTTTCTAAGGTCATAAATCTTTTTATGGGAGGAATCTGCCCATTTTTCTTAGGAGCAACTACTGGATTTGAATTGGCTGGCCTTTGAGTCAGTAGTGTATCTCATGCCCAGCCACACCACCAGAGCTTTACTTTTTTTTCTTCCGTCATTCTGGAGACTAAGGTGCGCTTGATCCAGGCCATAGTCTTCACAATTCCTTGCTATGCATCAGAGAGCTGGATGATGATTAGGGATGATAGAGAATTGATGCCTTTGAGCTGTGGAGCCCATTGCCCATCTTTCTCTTTTTGTATTGTACTAATTACCACTAAGCCACCAGAGCTCCCTGTCAGAGACTGTGGTTCATTTTAAAAGAATAAAGAGCTGGCTTGAAGCCCAATAGACATATTTTTATGAGGAGAGAAATAGATTTCTCACTGCTCGTCAAATGCAATTCATTTCCATTTAGTCGGGACTGACACCTAATAGACCTTCCAAAATGTTTTCAGAGGCTGTAAATCACACAGGAGGAGATTGCCGGTCTTTATTCTATGGAGCAGCTGGTGGATTTTAACTGCCTTTCTTTGGATTGGCCATGTAACTCCTTTACCGGTAGGCAGTTAAAGATCCCCAGACCCTTTCTCCTGAATCACATAGCTGCAAGGGCTGACATACTTAAGATAAGCAGGTCAGAAGACAGAATGTTGGCATTGACGGCAGAAGCTGATGAATTCAAGAACAACAGGTAAGACAGTCTGCTGCTGGATTCTGGGGCCAATGGATCTGAAATGGGCAAGCAAGATGGCAGGCTGCTGGGTCAAGTCCAGAGAAGCAGCAGTGCCAAGCCAGATGCAGGAAGATCAAGCAGAAAGCTAGAGAATTTTGCCTCAAAAAAACTCACTGCCCTCAAGTTGAACTCACCCATAGCTGACCCTCCAGCAGGTTTTTTGGAGGCTGTAAATGACACAGGAAGAGATTGCCAATCTTTCTCACAGAGAGCCACTGTTAGATTGAAATCAGAAAGTAGATTTGAACCATTAGAGAAGTACCCTATTGAGCTCCCTAGAGAGCTTTTCCAGAGAATCCATATATTTGTATTTGAAAGAGGTGACAGACAATACAGTTCTGGGCTATGATCAGTTAAGAGTGTTGCATCTTACTATCCTCTTTGATAGCGTTGATCACACCATATTTAACCTTTCACCCCTTAAGACATCTGCACTATTTCCATCTTTTATTACTACAAATAAACCTACTGCAGACATTCATGTATAGGTGCCAGGGATACCTGGAAGCAGGAGCAGCATCCACTTCTGAAATGGCTTGCCTCTGGAAACTCTATGTACGAACAATGCTCAGGCCGTTTGTTCATAGGATCGCTATGAGTCGTCTATGACTTGACGGCATCAGACAACAACAACCAGGGATACCATTACTGAGTCATTTGGTAATTGCTACTTGTAAAAATCGCTTTTGCCATAAGTTTCTTTGTTAAGAAGATAGGTCATAATTCACTCAACACGTTGTTACTTTTAGGTGCTGTTGAGTACCGCTTACACTGACCCTATAAAAAGAATAGATCTGAACCTTGGTCTATATTGTGCCATCATTACAGTCTCTGACACACTTGAGTCCATAGCTGCAGTCACTTTGTCAATCCATTTGGTTGAGGTCTTTCTCTCCTTTGCCATCCCCCTGTCCTTTCAATCTTCTTGTCCCCCTTCAAAGAATAGCCTCTCCTGACAACATGCCTGAAGTATGTAAGACGAAGCTTTATCATCTTTACCTCCAAGGAGCACTCTGGTTGCACCATCTCCAAGATGAGGCTGTGCTGCAATCCCAAAGGCATGTGTTTTGAGGCCACCAGCATCTCTACCCATGTGATTAATTCTTTTGAAAACCCTCTGGAGGGTCTGCTGTGGTTTGGTTCCAACTAACCAGTATTTAACAACAACCCTATCTTAATAGGAAGCTCTAGTGGCTCCTTCTTGTTGTGTACCATCAAATTGGAACTAACACATACCTGACCCTTCAGCAGATTTTCCGAGGGAATAAATCACACAGGAAGAGATTGCCCATCCTCCTACAGAGCTGCTGGTGGATTCTCATAGTGTGCCTTTGGGATTGCAGTGCAGCTTCTTACCACTGTTGTTGTTGTTGTTAATGATTGCCATCAAGTCAAGCACAACTCATAGTGACCCTATGAACAAAAGGTCTGAAGCCTTTCTGTAACTATCGTCATTTATCAAAGTTCATAGTTTCCAGAGGCATGTTGTTTAGGAAGTGGATACCACTCCTTCTTACCACTAGGCCTCCAAAATTTCGTATTGGAGTGTAACTCCTTTGTGTTGGTAGTGTGACTCCTCACCACTGAGCTCTGGAGGCCTTATGGTAAGAAGATGCAGTGCAATCCCAAAGGCACGCTGTTTGAATCCACCGGCTATTCCACACAAAGATGGGCAGTCACTTCCTGTGAAATTTACTGCCTCTGAAAACTCACTGGAGGGCCAAAAATATTCCAGGTCTGACTCTGTGGTACACACAAGAGTGGTAGGAGTGGAATTTAATTTGGATTTTGTCATTGTGGTTTTACTTTGTATTTCTCTTGTTAGTGCTGCTGAATATCTTTTCATGAACTTATACACAGCAGCCACTTTGATGGGGCCTCATTAGCATACCAAAGCCCTGTTCCCAGCAGGCCTCCATTCACAGATAACAGGGCCAGGATTGCAGAGCACCTTTTTTTTTTCCTTAAAGGATAAAATGAAGGGAATCATGTAGAGTAAGTATGCATATATGCTTATCTGTTGACTATCAATTAAATTACATTAATACACTGTCACATAATCCTTGCTAAAACATTTACAAATAAAAGTAGTCACTTTGGGAGCGGGGGTGGGTGAATGGGAAATACAGTTTGGTCTCTCATGTGAATGCAAGGCTCTTGGTTACACACAGGCCAATCCTGATGTTTTCCGTGTTGACCAGGCAGGGGTGTCATCTTGACCAGCCAGCTAGGTGGTGGCTGTCACTGAGGGCAGTGGCCCCTGCTCCCCTCAGCCGAGGTCTCCCTGACCAGCCCCTGTTGTGCTCAGCAGTGCTGGATGCAAGCGCCCTAGCCCAGGCCTTCTTCAGACAGCTGTGGAATGTGTGCAGCCGGTGGCAGAAACAGGTGCCCTTAACCACCAGGCCACCCAAGCAACAATGGCTGGTTTCAGTCCATGCCATCCGGAATACACGCCGCAAGATGGAAGACCGGCACGTGACACTACTGGCGTTCAACCAGCTCTTCGGCTTGTTGGTGAATGCTCTCCCTTCCCCAGGTGGGGGGCTAGAACCCGGGTGGAGACTCACGACTGAGTTACTGCAGCTCTTGGGTGCCTTACAAGGTGCCTCTTGGCAGGTGTGGGCACCTTGTGGCCAAGATAGCTGCTCAATCCAGGACCTGAAGAACAAAAAGTAGCTCCCCAATTCTGTTTCTAGTGAATGGCCTTGAGTCCAGTTCAGACAGTGGGGGATTGTGGGGCCCCCTCCATCCCTGTACTGAGAGAAGCCAGGAGCTCCCAACTTCACCCTGAACCCTTTGTGACTTGGTGCATGCAAGTATTCTGACCCCACACTCACTGCAGCCAGTGGTTGCCTATGTTTCCACTCCATCCATGTCCACTCCTCAGATGGCCACAAAGGGATGACCCCAGCCAGAGGGGCAGCCAGCAGCTTTGAGAACTCCACCACTTTCTCCACCAGGACCCTGTGGAACGTGCCTACTTCGCTGTGTTTGATGGTCATGGCGGAGCAGACGCTGCCCAGTTTGCTGCTGTACATGTGCACGCCAACGCTGCCCGTCAGCCAGCGCTGCTCACGGACCCTGCAGGTGCCCTCAGGGAGGCCATCCAGCACACTGACTACATGTTCATCCAGAAGGCCAAGCGTGAGGTAAGCAGGGCTGGCAAGCCCAAGGGTGATGCTGGGAGAACCACAGGAGTGCTACACTTCTCACCACAGCAGGGGCCCCTTTCAACGTGTGTACACAGCACAGGGTGCCCATGGTTCAGATCATACCATGTGAGAAGAGCACTTTCTCCCACGGCTTCTCTGGGTGTTGGCCCTGGAAGCCTGCTGTGTCTCCTGGACATGTTCTCACTCCAGGAGTTACAGCTGCTTGAAGAAACAACAGTGTTCTGAGTTCTCACAGGGAACTTACCTGAGCTCCAGTTCCCGAGTCTCCTTAACTACCTTGAACCTGACTCCAGGGCTGGCATCCTCCATGAACTTAACTGAGCTCATGTGCCTGAGTCTCCTTAGTACCTTAAACCTGACTTGCACCTCCAGAGTTGCTTGGTCCTCCAATAGCTCTTCCTTGGGACAAAGATGGACAATCTCCTGTGCAATTTACTGCCTCTGAAAACTCATTGGAGGGTCAGCTGTGGGACAATTCTGACGCCAAGGTCTTAGCCCTGTGAGATGGGCTCCTATATCATCCTCATGTAAACATACACGAAGCAGAAGCTCAGGGAGCATGAGAGGCCAATTTGAGTGGGCACAGCTTGTCTGTAGCAGATGAGACCTAGGTTTTGGTTTTTGGAGCAGATACTGGGGAGGGGCTCTATTATTCAGAGCTCAGACCATCGTGGAAATCAGCCAGTGCCTGCATGGTCAGACAGCCATGTGGCCACTAGAACTAGACAGAGGAGATCAGTGAAGGGCTGGCCCTTGGCCCCCCAAGGGGAAGAAGACCTATCTAGAGCAGTGGTTCTCTGAAGCAGCCATTTGGTTTTGTTTATGGGGTTTTGTGTTTTTTTTTGGTTGTTTTAATTTATTTAACAGCATATTGATACAGGGAGCTCTAATGGCATAGTCCAGAGGGAGTTATGCTGTGAACCCAAAGGTGGCACCTCTCTGGCAGTTCCAATCTCCTAGCAGGATCTCAGGAGAAAAGATGGTAGGCTCTTCCTCTGTGATCCACAGCCTCCAAAAACCCACAGAAGGAGGTCAGTTATAAGTCGGTTCCAACTCGACAGCAGTCAGTTTAGTGGATTTGTTATTGCTACATAATGGCCTCTGCATTGTTATGTGCCATCAAGTATGACTCAGTGACCCTGTGAACTACAGATCTGAATCCTATCCTGTGCCAACCTCATCAGCTCTAACACGCTTGAGGCCATTGCTACAGTCATTGTGTCAATCCATCTTATGGGGGGTCTTCCTCACTTTCACTAACCTTCCACCTTCCCAAGCATGATACGTCACTTTCCAAGGAATAACCATTTCCAAAGTATGTGAAATAAAGTTTCACCATCCTTGCCTTCAAGGAGCACTCTGGCTGCACCTTCTCTAAAACATATCTGTTTGCTCTTTTGGCAATCTGTGAGAGATTCAGCACTCTTCACCACCACCACAGCTCAGAGGCATCAGTTCTTCTATTGTCATCTATATTTATTATCCAGATTTCAGATGCATAGCAAGTGACTGAAAAGACAATGGCCCAAATCATAAGCATGATGTCTTCAAACTTATATCATTGTTCCACCTTGATTTGGAGAGGTCCTTGACTTTCCCAGTACAATAAATCTCCTGATCGCCTGATTGCTGGCTTCAAAGGTGTTCATTGTAGATCCAAGTGAGATGAATTAACTTGGATCCACAGTCAACATTTGAATATACAAACTGATAAATTGTAATCTGTGCATACATCCAGAAACCCTCAACACACCCAGAAACCTTTCTCCCACCCTTTGTCACCCTGTACCATGTGGCTCTCAGGCTACTCTCTTCCATTAGAGGTTAGTTTGCATATTCATGGTTTTTTTGTTTCTGTCTTTGTTTCTTCTTTTTTTTTTTAACTAAACTAGTTTATTTACAAAGTTCTTATACATTGTTTTTCACACCACATATTTCTCATTTGCTTCACAGACCCCCTCCCTCCACCCATCAAATTGTGCAACCCTATGATTAATTCCCACTCCCCTACCCCACCCATCCCTGCCCTCTCTCCTATGGAACCTCATACTGTATTTGTCCTTAAGGGACTGAGTTAGTTTACTTAGCATAATGTTTTCCAGTCCCTCCCAAGTTAGGTAATAATTTACAAAATCATTGTTCCTGCGTGCTACGCAGTATTCCATTAGATGAATATACCATAATTTCTCAATCCATTAGATTGTGGTTGGACATTTGGGCTGTTTCCATGTTCTTGAGATGGTGAATAATGCTGCTATGAACATTGGTGTACAAGTCTCCATTTGTGTCTCACTGCTTATTTTCTCAGCAGTGAAATAGCTGAGTCTTAAGGAATTTCTATGTTCAGGTTTTTTGGGGGGGGGGATTTTGGTATTAACGGTAGTATTTATTGAGCTGTATCTTGGTGCAGACACTGAGGCTTGCGCCTGAACATTCTGTCAGTTCTTACTGAAACCAGAAAGTTGACAGCCAGGTAGATATTGTAAACAAGTTCATCATTTGTCATCTTCACATGGCCAACAGCCACTGCCAGACAACATCTAGAATTTGGTGGGTGACTTCACCTCATCTACTTTTGCCACATATTCTCATTGTGGGTCAGTAGAGTAGGAAACTTGCCAGCCTTATTTAACCCTGGACACCTAGGCTTCTTGGGATCTGCTTAATCAGGGATTCAGAGTCCAAAAAGGCATCATACTTCTTGGCCAGCTTTTTTACCATCTTCTTATTTTTGTTGAGTTTTTTCAGCACTTCGATGGCCATGTGGGGGATATCCATAGCCTTGGCTTCATCAAAGTGCTGCTGATCCCCAGGCATACACACTGAGAACTTGGGACATGGGATGGACTTAAACCTGATGGTCCCTGAGAAGCAGTTGTCCTTCTGAGGGTCATAGTTCCTTCAAACTGATCTGCAGCTCCACCGTCTCCAAAAACTTTCTGCATTTGCACTGGATCCCATGCAGGACTTCCCGCACCACCTCATAGAGGGTGTCACAAGAGACTTTACTGCTCATGGTTCTCCTATGTTTAGCTTTTTGAGGAAATGCCAAATTGCCTTCCAGACTGGTTGTACCATTTTACAGTCCCACCAACAGTGTATAAGAGTTCCTATCTTGCCACATCCTCTCCAACATTTAAAACTTGCTGTCCTGTTAAACTTTGCCACTGCTACTGGAGTGAGATGATATCTCATCAAGGTGGATCAGAAGCCTGAGAGTAAAGCCTAAAACCGTAAAATTCATCAGAGACATACTGGGATCAAGCTTAGGTGACCTAGTCTGTTAGTATAAAAAGACTGCCAAGTACAGCCAGAAATGCACAATCTGGAAAGGATAAAATTGATGAATGAGACCTTCTAAAGAGTAAATCCCTGTGCGCATCAAAAACATTTTCCATCAGAGTGAAGAGAAAACCTACTGACTGGGAAAAACCATTTTGCAATACCATTTCAGACAAGGGTCTTATATCAAAAGCTTACAGACTCCTACAAGGCCTCCAAAAGAAAAAGACTGATAACACAATTACAAAATGGACAGAAGACATGGAAAGATTTTTCACAGTGGAAATACTTGTATGGCCAACAAATATACGAAGAAATGCTCAAAATCACTGGCAATAAGAGAAACGCAAATCAAAACCACAGTGAGATACTCATAGTTTTTTATTTTTTATTTTTTTTTTT